TGCAAGATGGCGGCTGCTTGTAGGGCGACCCGCGACCATGGAGATATAAACAGCTTTTTATAAGGTAAAAATAATAAAACAAGGTCTTTGGCTGCAATGATTAGACATGTTTTTTATTATTGTCATTAGTGATTAACTCAATTTCGGCTAAAACACTTGACGAAATCCTACACACTGTGCCTTTAGGACTTTTACTCAAGTAATATTTTTAGAGAAGACTTTAACTTTTACCAAAGTATTTTTATGATAATATACTTGTACTTTTACTCAAGAATGTACTTTTTACAACACTGGTCATTTGAAAACACACAAAAGAAAAGTTTTTTTCATAGCGACATATGAAACACGTTGAGTTCAAAATGTTTTCCCTTCCTACATTATAACCGGTGATGTTCTTCTGTGTGTGTTCGCATGACKGTCTGTTGGCAAAATATTTCATGAATCWCWGAAAAGGTTTTATTGAAACACTCTGCTRCACCTACAACAGGTTAGTTTGTTGAATCAACCCAGTTGAAGATGGCCGCCACAGCTAACTGATGTTAGCCAACTTTAAAAAGCTACAGTTTGATATGAGATTAAATTTATTGTGATAAGTAAGAGCTATTAAAAACACATACACTCAAAAACAGATTGTTGGATTAACTTAAAGTTATTTTCCTCTCAAGTGAGCTGAGAARAGGTAGAGCAACTTTCACATTTATTTTTAAAGAAAACATGAAAGTTGCTTGACCTTTACTCACCTCAGCTGAGTGGAAATGGTTAATCCAACCATCAGTTTTTTGAGTATMCTTGAGAGCGAGTGACATGCATTCCAGTGATGAATCCTGAGTCTTTACCTTGTTTTCCTGTCCTGCTCTGGTTTCAGGAAAGGTTTTGGGTCATGGTGCTTTTGGAAAAGTCATCGAAGCGTCCATTTATGGCGTCAGCAGAAGCAGCAGTGTGGACACTGTGGCCGTCAAAATGCTGAAAGGTGAGCCTCGTCTTAGAGTTGGTGCTGTCGCTGCTCAGGTCTACACCTTTAACTCATCCGAACAAATGATAGAATTAACTCCTCGTCAAGTSTGCTTTTATTCACAATTAACCCATCGAACAAATCCAAACACAAGCAGCTGTGTTTCACTGAGTTCAGGCAGTAATTGTTCAGGCTTCAGCTAAAAGCTGCTCAGACTCAGGTGTGTTCAGCTACAAACAGACCTCTGGGCTGCAGTAAATAATGGCTGATTGTTAAAAAGGTTTGCTTTTCTCAAGAAAAATGGTTTAGTTTGAACTGTTCCTCATTCACAATTTTTTTTTACAAAACTCGAGATGTGTGAAGCTGCTAATCAGTCACACCCAGAGAAGTCTCTCCATGTTGTTCAGTTAGTTGTTTGTGTGTGTCTGGATTCAGGGAAAAGGTACAAAAACATGGTGTCAAAGCAGAATGGAAGCAAAAAAAAGGTAAGGCAGCCCTGCGGTCCAAAAGACAAATGGGATGGTTGTGTTTGTTGCAGACGGAGCCACAGCCAGCGAGCACAAAGCTCTGATGTCAGAGTTGAAGATCCTGATCCACATCGGGAACCATCTGAATGTGGTAAACCTGCTGGGAGCCTGCACCAAACCAAACGGTGAGTCCACACACTATCCAGTCACAGCTCAAAGGCAAATAATGTGCAACAGGTTGAGTTTTCAATGTTGATTTTTCTGTGCTATTAGTGAAACTCTCAAAGTAATGACTGGACATACATTTACAACTGATTACCATTTGTAGCCAGCCTGATTCTAGACGGCTGCCACAGCTGATAGACCTTATGGAAACAAACACAAAAATGACTGTAACTCAATTAATTATACAAACATTGAGCTTTAATTTAGTGTGTAAGCAGCTGAGTCTCCTATCAAGCACATAATCTGAGAGCTAACAGACTGAGCTGCATATTTGGATGGAAATGTGGCTTTTAAGATGGTGGGTGATACACATTTCTTTAATAATGGCTATATAGTGTCAATAAAACATTAAATTTTGTTTGGTGTCAACAGAAAATACATTTTATTCTGGGTTCATGAAACATACTTATAAATCAACAGCACGTTTATTTTTGTTTATTATTTTAGGTAAAACTTTTATCTGAATCTTTTATACATAATGAATCATTTTCATTCATTCCTATTCTGTAATTTTAGCGACGTCAATTATTTTAGACTTATTCTGATCACTGTTATTAAAGAGTTACTATAATCATTTTATTCRTAGTTCATTCTTTGATTTGAACATGCAAATATATACCTGTATATATGGAACTTCATCACATACTGAGTTCAGTATCAAGTTTTTGTCACTTATTTAAGCCTCTGAGCAGCTTCGATTGCTTTAAAATCCAAATTCCTAGTAAAACTAATGCCTTTTTTAAAATTCATACATGAAGTTTTATTTGGATTATCTCTTTTATAAACTGTCCATTTAAATAAAAAGCAATAAAGAACTATAAATACTTTAAAGTTAGCACAGTAGCTAAAGGCTAAATCAGGGGTGCCCAAACATTTTCCTCAAGGGGGCCAAAATGAAAATGTGTTGGGGGGCTGCGGGCCAAATGCAGTAATATAATACATGAAATACAAATATTTTTGAAAWAAAGTCCTTTATTTTTAACAATGAAGCTAGCAGCCAGTGTGGTGGCCCACTTTTGTTTTAGTTTGTGAACTTAGAGAAAGTCTGCCATATGCTCAGGTAGGAAAAGCTCATGGGACATTTAATAAATTGATAAAATATGAGTTTTTGTGGCCTTATAAAGTGCAAAAATCTACATGTGTGGTTAAATCTGATCTAAATATCTCTTGTTGTTACTTGTATTTCATGCTTCATGTTTAATCTTAATATATCAAAGAGAAAGTCAACACCATGAGTGAAAGCTATCTGCACTAGTCCCTAATTTAGTCACTTGGCCAATGGATGAAATGACTAAGTGGAAATACAGTTTCTACATAGAACAACAGGTTACAGCCTAGTAACTACTCAACTGCTGGTGGGCCAAATCAAATGGCTTGGCGGGCCAAATTTGGCCCGCAGGCCCCACTTTGGGCTCCTCTGGGCTAAATCAATACAGAACAGATTTTTTGGGAAAATGTGTCAGCTAAACTCAGGCTGCTTAACAAGAAGTGAATCTTATGTTTTTATTTCTTTAGGTAATTATGAAAAATAAAATTCTCTTTTTCATGTAAGTTCTTTAAAAAGCTCATATTTCAAACATTTGCCTTCAGGTCCGTTGATGGTGATCGTAGAATACTGCAAATATGGAAATCTGTCCAACTTCCTGCGAGCCAAGAGAGAGTTCTTCCTTCCTTACAGGGTAAAAAACCACCAGGAACTGGTTTTTTTTTACATTTATGAAAATGTTTAGTCGGCCTAATATCTGTTTTTATTCCATGATGTAATTTCTGTCTGCATTTTTAGTCACCTCTTCCACTGGTGACTCGCTCTGCTGATTTTAGAGATGCTGCGTCATGCTGTGCTCTGTTTCAGGACCGCTCTCCAAAAACCCAGAGCCAGGTGAGGCGGATGATTAAAGCCGGTCAGATGGACCAGAGAGGTCGTCAGCCGCCTCCTGCAGCCTCCACTCCTCCGATGACATCATCCAGGGCGTCCAATCAGACTCCGGCGGTGGAGAAAAGTGAGTCACTTTGACATCATGAGGGTGACATTTTATTTTTGCTTTCCACGACTCCATTCCTCCTCCTCCTGCTGTTTCCCTCTCCAGTGGAGGACCTGTGGAAAACCCCGCTGACCATCGAGGATTTGATCTGCTACAGTTTCCAGGTGGCTCGTGGGATGGAGTTCCTGGCTTCCAGAAAGGTTCATGTTATGTCCCAATCTGCAGAGCAGAGGTTAACGTCAGAGGTAGACATTTGGGTTGTTGACGTGGGCGGCTGCAGCTCAGAAGTGCTTCATCCAGTTAATCGTTTGTTTCCAACAATCCCAAATTATTATTTTCCTTCTGTGTTTAACCATCACTTAGTGATTGTTTCACAGCTTTTTTTCTTGATTTACTGAAATGTTTGATTAAACGCAGCAAAAAGGACAAAAGGACCTCATTAAATCAGTGATGGGTTTTATTTTAGGGTTTGAAAAGAGCAGTTTAATGTTGTAATGTCACTTTCCGAGCTCACAAGTGTAAACTGCAATCAAGTTTTTTTTTTTTTTTGTGTGTGTGTGTGTGTGTGTGTGTGTGTGTGTGTGTGTGTGT